TATATATATATATATATATATATATATATATATATATATATATATATTCAATGAAGAATACTGAATAAATGATGCTGAAAACAAAGCTGTATAAGAAATAGAAAACAATTTAGATCCTCATCTTAATGTATAAACAAACAATTTAGAAATATCCAACATTAAATGTGAAACATAAAGGTATTTGCAATCTAGAAGAAAATATATGCATGAATTTTGAGTGTAAAACTTTGTACAGATAAGGAAATATTGAAATACAAGAAATAATCCATATATTTGATCAAATATAAAATTAGAATTTCTGTGTTTCAAAATATGTTTAAAAATACTGTGAGACATCCTGCAATAGGGTCACTTTTTTCTGTATATATAAATAAATTTTATAAACAATAAAATATCTAATATTTCACCAACAAACAAAATATGTCTATGTTTTACAAAAAAATAAGCAATTTATTTATCATCTGGGTATGCTTGAAATACTATAAATCAAAAAATTTAAATTAAAGCAAAAAAGTGAGTTATATGCCCATTAATTTGATCAATTTTAAAAAACACAAACATCAAGCACATAGAGAAGTATGTCAGCATTCACTGCACTTCTCATTGACTTGACCCTAGTGGAACTGTCTTAATAGGTATCAAGAAATGTCAGCCAGTTTGTATTTCTTAACTTGGTAATTTTCTCCTGGAAATTTGTACAAAGGGAAAAAAATAAAGATGCAGTCAAAGATTTATGTGTATGTGTTTTTATCACAGTTTTAAAATTGAAAAAAGTAACAATAATATAAAATTTTAAAAGGCATTTTATATATTATTATACAATCATTCAAAAATCATATTTTCTAAGAATATGTAATAATTCAAGAAAAGACTTACTGTAGTTTGCTGAGAGAAAATCAATCAGGAACAAAATTGGTTAGATAAAATTTTATTTGTGAAATACAAACATTTTATCAAATTACCTAGATTTTCTATAATGAATAAATGAAGTGTATAATTTACTTATACTTAAAAAAAAGTAAACTTCTTAAAAGTATACAATGATAAGTGCTCCAGTGATTATAATCATAATATGCAATCTTATGGTTAAATAAGAAACAATTATTCTTTGAGGTAAGATTACTGGGAGTTTGCTTTTAAGAGATTTTCTTTAGAAAAGCATTTGGGTGTTTTAGAGTAATTGACCATACTTAGCAGAACGTCTTCCTATGCAGATGACTAATATGTTCAATACAGCATAATCAAGAGATGTTTGTATGATAAGTATAGAGCATAAGATATCTGAAAATAAAGTTTATATAAGGTGAATTAGGTAGTCATTATTTTCTATAACCATCCTGGCATCTGTAGAAGTATAAGAATCTATAGAGATTCTTCATAAGTCTCAGTGTGCATTTGTGGCTGTAAGTATATCCTGAATAGCACATGAAAGATTTTGAGATGCACCAAATATACATTCTATGATACGGAGTAAAAGGTCTACCAGCTGTACCTACATAAGCCTTTACTGATCCAGGTGCTCAGCTTGTCAGAGAGATGGGGAAAACAGCTCTTGACAAAATCCTCAAAGGTCACTGTTGCTAGGGCATTGATGCTGGCAGCCACGGTACTAAAGGGAAAGAAAAGCAAGAACATAGTTCAAACTAAACAAGGCTAAGCCATCAACCTGCCCTATCATCCAAGGCAGATAGACAAAGGAGAGGTCTATAAAAAGGAGATGTCGACATGTCCATGTTCTGGAACTTCAGAGGAATACATAGCCTGTACTCATTCATCATAATTTCTTCTGTAATAATGCTCTTTCAATTATTCCACAAACTACACAGAAAAACTGAGACTTTTATGTTCTGACTCCCATTAATTCCTCTTAATGAATAGTTAATAAGTTAGCAGGGAATAAAAGAGGGAGTGTGTGTGTGTGTGTGTGTGTGTGTGTTTAGGTTGGAGTAGAGCTGGAAGTAATGACTATCTTAACCCAAGAATCAGTTTGCCACTGATTCATAATTCATAAATTAATGTGTCTGCTTTTTAATTCTTTGTACTAGGCATACAATGGTGAACAGAAAAAAAACATGGGTCTTACACTCTTAACTAGGAATGCAGATATTTAAAACCAATTATACAATTGATTCCAGTTGTGAAATTGTTAGAAAAACAACAAGATTCCATAAAAACATGCCCCAAAGAGACCTAAACAGACTATCCACAAGATTCCCTTTAGGAAGTGGGAAATAAAGACAGATATTGAAAGGAGTCATGCAAAGTAAGAAAAGATGTTTGGAGGATGAAGGGAAAATTATATAGAGGCACCTTGACGGATAGGTACTTCTCCTTCTTTTTACATTCTGAAGCCTCCTGCGTAGCTGGAATGCAGAAGAGGTCAGACAGAGAAACAGCAAAACCAAAAATGCATAAGAGTTCTGATGTTCCCTCTGACTTTCCTTCAGAGTTCCCTCCTACTAGACCTAAAACTTGTTTGGATGTCAGAAAGTTTGAAACTTTAGGTTTTCTTTGTAGAAAAGCATGAAATCTTATTTAATTCTTCATGTAGACCAGAATATTTTAGCTGCTAAAATAGAAAACTATTAAATTCAAGAGGGGCAAAAAAATCACAATTTAAAAACTATTCCCTTTAAAACACGTAATATTAAAACTATTCTTTTAAAAATAAATCACTGTTTTCAAAGCACAATTATATAATAGAATGAAAACAAAGTTGAAATTATAAGAAAATAAACTTCAAAAATATTTGCAGATATTACGATTTATGTACAGACCCAGAAGAATTAGCTTAAAGTAACTAAGGGAGACCTAGATGTCAAGAATATTATGTAAAAGAAAAGCAATACATATATAACAGTCTAACATAAATCAGATTTTAAATCACAGTCATTAAAATTATTTATATCACCATAGTTAAAATCAGTACATAAATGGAATATAAAAGAGCATTCTGAGAAGCTCTCAAAGACAAAGAATCTAGGAAATAATAAAAGCAGTCTTTCAAGAAGATGGTTTAAAGATGGCTTATTAACTATGAAACAATAGAAAAACTGTCTACTAATGTAGAAGTAAAATAAACTAGCAACTTTAATTGATTTACTATATTATAAACATAATATACATGCTTTAATGTAAATATACTAACATGGGGGCTGGATGACTTAAAATCATAGAATGGAGAATCCTTTATGACAATGTTGTTAACCCAGAAATCATAATGGAAAATTGTGAATTAAAAACTCAATATTTTTTTATTTTATTCTTTTTTTCCCTGGTATAGGGCCTCATGCATCCTAGGCAAGTACTTTACCACTGAGTTACAACCCAAGCCCTTTTAAATTTTATTTTTAGACAGGATCTCACTAAATTGGCCAAGCTGGTTTCAAATTTATAATCCTCCTGCCTCTGTCTCCTGACTAGCTTGGATTACAGGCATGTTCAATCACACCCAACTAAAATCTCAATATTTCAAAGGAAAACATGGAAGGCTAGGTAGTATGTTTCAGGTCAGAGCCCCTGCAAGAATACCCCAACAGGGCAATGCATGGAGTCATAGCAGCAAAGCTGAAATTTCAATGATGGCAGAGATGCCAGCAATGTGCAGTACTCATCAGAGAAAACTACAGGCTGCATGCAAAGTCAGCCCAAGAGAAAGACCATATAGGTTGCAACCAGAAAGTCCACGTGGGAGGAACTTCTCAAAGTCTTGGGAGCCCACCTTCACCCTAAAACACTCCAGATACCAGACTTGAAATTTTAGAACTTAATTTTTACTGCTAAGTTCTTGGTCTTGCCTTGAGACACTAATTCTATTTTTTTTCCTATCCCTCTTTTTTGAAATGGAAATGAACACCCTGTACCTGTCCCACTACTATATATTAAATGTCCATAACTTTGATATTTACAGGGCTCACAAATGAGCTTGCCTCGAGTCTCAGGAGAAACTACAGTCTTAGATTTTTGAGCATTGCTAGAACAGTTAAAATTGTGGATACTTTTGTGATGAAATGAGCCATCTTTTTTGGGGGGGGTTACCTGGGATTGAACTTAGGGGCAGTCTATCACTGTGCCACATCCCCAGCCCTATTTTGTATTTTATTTAGAGACAGGATCTCACTGATTTACTTAGTGCCTTACTTTTGCTGAGGCTAGCTTTGAACTCATGATCCTCCTGCTTCAGCCTCCTGAGTCGCTGAGATTACAGGTATGCACAACCACACAGGGTTGAAATGAGTTACTTTACATCATAAGCTAGACATGAACCTTTGGGGTCCAGGTACAAAATGCTATAGTGCAAATGATGAATATCCACTAAAAGTCCATGTGTTAAAGGCTTGGTCCCCAAGGTGGTTCTTCTGTGAGGTGATGGAATCTTTGAGAATTAAGTCCTTTTGGGAGGTCCTTAGATCATAGAAGGAATGTCCCCAAAGAAGATTATGGGGCCCTGACCCCTTCCTATCCCTCTCTTCTACTTCCTGGCTCATGAGCTGAGTGATTTTATTTTGCCACGGCATGCTGCCTCCTTGGAACTCCAAACTAATGAACAGTTGATCAGAGGCTAGAACCTAAAAACTATAAATCAAAATAAGCCATTTATCTTCATAATTTAATCATCTCAGGTATTTCATTATAGTGATGCAAAGGTAACTATACAGTATCAGTAAAGGTCGAGATAATAAACAGAATGGTGTGGATTAAGGACAATCTAGGCTTACATCCTGCTTCTGCATTTTACTAACTCACCATGGATAAGTTGTCTACCTTGTTAAACCTATTTCTGAATCAGCAAACCAACAATAATGTGAGTAAAGTTTTAGTCTCAAATGCTGTGTGACAACTATTGAGCAAATACAAATAAAGCATTCAGTATGACAGTGGACACATAATAAGTGCTAAGCAGATGCTGTTGATTATTACCTCCATTAACCTTGTTATTTCATCACCATTGTCATCGTCATTGTCACCATCAGCATCACATTGTTGTTGATATACTAACCTCAATGTTCCACTAAAAGCACAAGCCACAAAAAGTCCTGGAAGTCCTGGCATTGTGGCAAAGAGCTCCATGACAAAATAAGGCATCAGCTAGGGGGAGAGAAAGAGAAAGAGAGAGAAGGGTTGAAGGGTGGGGAATAATGCTCTTCTCAGCAACATCAGAAATGTGGGAATGTAGCTTTTCTGTAATATATATATATATATATATATATATATATATATATATATATATATATATATATATTACGCCATTTTCTTGACTATTTACTCTGATTGTTAGCAATTAAACCTGAAAAGCAAACCCTTAAAACATGCCTTTATGGCATCCAGATATTATGGTTCCACCTTATACCAGGCTTGTAGCAAAGCAGCCACTCTATGACAAGCAGGATGAATGAACATGTAGGGGAGGAGAAGGAGAGTGATTGTTCCTCCAGAGCATACTATCTATACATGGAATTTTAAAAATACATTTAATGTAATATGTTGGCATGATATTTAAGCTATGCTAAGAAGGCATGATCAGAAATGCTATGGCAATAAGGGTCATTTTCTTCAACTGACAACCAAAGCCAAATTCACCTTCTTGTCTCCCCAGCTTTAAACTGGTCTCAGGCCTTTAGATATTGAAATGTGTTTTGTTGTTGTTGTTGTTGTTGTTTTGTTTTGTTTCAATACTCAGTTTGAACCAGGGTATAACAAATGCTAGGCATGTCCTCTACCCCTGAGCTACATTCCCAGCCCTTAGAAGTCTCCTCTTGTTACATGCTCAATTCCCCTTATTGTAACCTGGTGCATGTGACACCATCAACAGCAGAGGAGAGAAGCTAAGTCCTTGGGGTTTAAGAAGTGTCCAGAGGACAAGGCAGAACAGACTACACTTCACCAACGATGGCCAGAACCTCACTCATTCCGGCTGTTTCCCCCAAGGAAACCATACCTGGTCTGGTGCTGAGATCATACCAGAAGTCCAAGGATCACAGTCTTTGAAGTGGGAGTACATGATCAATCCAGAGAAGACAGCACACACCAGAATGATCCAGAGACCCAACAAGTTAAAGTACAAGGCACTAGAAGAGAGCAATGAGCCAACTGGTCACCTCTATGCCATGTCACAGTGTAGAAAGGGCACAACCAAAGACTCTAGGTTAATTTCTGAGGAGTCCTTTAGCTCTCAAGAATCATTCGATTATATACTTTTGCATCTGTGAAAGTATCTTATATTTTTAGACTACTTAACAAATGTGAATAAGGTAAGATTTTAGATGGATAAATGGAATCTCTTTTAAATTGCAATGGTTCCCCCTCCCACCTTTTGCAAAATCTCAGTATGTGTGGTATGAGATCTATTTTCTTGGATAAAATTTCACATACCAATCTCATTATATAACTTTAAGTGATTTTCCCCCCTACTCAATTCAGAAAACTGTCAAAAAACCAACTTACATTTTAACATCTTTTCTTCCAGAGGGATAATGAGATAATGTAGAAATAGACAAGTTATGGAAATATTCACTTTGGTGATTAATTCAGATGAAAGTTTAAGTTGAATTTTTTAAAGATGCTACAAAGTATGAAAAACTTAACACCCTCTTAACCATACTATTTGGAGCTGTTCATCTTATTCTATAAGACACAAGCATGCATAATTCCAGTTGGAAGATTTGTAGAATCCTATGGTTACTTCATATCCATTCAGTCATTTGAAAGTCAGAAGCTTTCTCATATTCTTTTTTAAATGTTCAAATCATTTTTGTTAGTTTATTTTATTTATACAGAATGATGGGTTTCATTGTGGCATACTGATGCAGTCATATAACACAATACTATCAATTTTACCCTGGCCTCCTCCCTTTCCTGTTCCCTTTCTTCTACTGTATCGGTGTCCCTTCCATTTTCATGTTATTCCTTTCTTTCCATTCTCGCTCCTACATGTGAAAGAAAACATATGTATTTCACTTTCTGAATCTAACCCACTTTGCTTAACATGATGGTCTACAATTCCATCTATCTTTCTGCAAATTATATAATTTCATTCTTCTCTATGGCTGAATAAAATTCCACTGTATATATGTACCACATTTTCTTTATCTATTCATCTATTGACAGATACTTAGGCTGAGGACATAACTTGGCTATTATGAATTGTGCTGTGATAAACATGGGTATGCATATATCTTTAAAGTCGCTGACATTAATTCCTTTGGATAAATATCAAGGAGTGGTATAACTAAATCATAGTGTTGTTCTGTTTTTATTTTTTTGAGGAGCCTCCATACAGATTTCCATTGTGGTTATATTAATATACAGCCTCACAAATAATGGATCAGAATTCCTCGTTCCCTACTTCTTCACCAACATTTATTATTGTTTGTATTCATGATGATTATCATTATGCTTAGAATGAGATGAAATCTCAGCATAGATTTAATTTTCATTTCCTTGACAGATAAAGATGTTGAACCTTTTTTATATATATTTGTTAGCCATCTGTACTTTTGAGTAGTTTCTGTTCAGTTAACTTGCTCATTTACCAAATAAGTTATTTAGTTATTAGCATTTAGTTTTTCAGATTTTTTTTATATAGTCTGGAAACCAATTCTTTGTCAAAAGAGTAGCTGGCAATGATTTTTCTCCCATTATGTAAGCCATGTCTTTACTCTGTTAGTTGTTTTCTTTGTTGTGCAAGAGCTTTTTAATTTGATACAATCCCATTTGTCAATACTCACTACTATTTTCTGAGCAACTGGAGTTCTATTCAAGACATTTTTACTGTGCCTACATGTTGAAATGTTTCCCCTGTGTTTGATTCTCAGAGTCTCAGAGCTACTGGTCTTACACCTAGATCTTTTATCCATATTGAATTAACTTTAATATGGAGTAGGAGAAGGATTTCATTTCATTCTTCCACTTTTATATATTCAATTTTTGTAACATCATTTTTAAAACAGGTTTTCCTCTCTTCACCATATATTTTTGGCACTTTGTCAACAATCAGATCACTACAGATGTGTGGGCTGGTCTCTGTCTTCTATTCCATTGAAATATGACAATATCATGCTGTTTTTGATGCTATGGCTCTGTATTATAAATTGAAATTGGCTATTGCAATACCTCACACATTGCTCTTTGTGTTCAAAATTACTTTGGCTATTCTGGGTATTTTGTTCTTTGATATGAATTTTAGGCTTATATTCTCTGTGTGAAGAATATATTTGGTAATTTCATGGAGATTGCATTTGATAATATGTTCATTTTACAGTACTAATTCTGCCTACCCTGCACATGAGAGGTGTTTTCATCTTCTAGTGTCTTCTACTTCTTTTTTTGTGTTCTGTAATTGTACTTGTAGACATTTTTTTCACCTTCTTCATTAAATATGTATTCCTAGGTATTTTACTTTTTTAAAAAAACTATTGTAAAATGAAATAGTTTTCCTAATTTCTTTTAAAAAAGATTCATTATCAGTATATAGAAAAGCTATTGATCTTTATATGTTGTTTTGCATCCAGCTACTTTATCAGCTCTGGGATTCTTGTGGTGATAAATTCCAAGTCTTCTAGGTATAAGATCATGTTATCTGCAAACAGAGATAATTTGACTTCCTCTATTCCTACTAGTATCCTTTTATCTATTCCTCTTCCCAAATTGTTCTAGCTAAAATTTCAAGTAATATGTTGACTAGGAGTGGTGAAAGTGAACATCCTTGACATGTTCTTCATATTAAAGGAAATGCTTTTAGTTTCTCTCCATTAGTATGATATTAACTTTGGGTTTGACATATATAGTCATTATGATGTTGAGGTAAGTTCCCTCTATCCCTAGTTTCTTTATTGTTTTCATTAAGAAGTGATGTTTAATTTTCTCAAATGACTTTTCTGCTCTTATTGAGATGATAATGTGATATTTATCTTTACTTCTATTTATGTAATGAATTAACATTTATTGATTTACCTATGTTGAACTATCTTTGCATCCCTGAAATAAAACCAGCTTGAATATGGTGTGTGACAATTGATGCATTATTGAATATTTGCTAATATTTTATTAAGGAGTTTTACATTTATATCCATCAAAGAAATTGGTCTGTATTTCCTTTTCTTGGGTGTTCTTATTGAGTTTGGCTATCAGGTTGATAGTGGCTTTGTAGAATGAGTTTTGAAGCATTTCTCCTTTTCTAATTCATGGGATAATTTGAGGGGTACTGGCATTAATATTTAATGATCTAGTATAATACAGCTATGACTCCATCTGGTCCTGGGCTTTTCTTTGTTGGAAGACATTTTTGTCACTGCTTCAGTCTCATTGATGAATTCATCATGTCCTGTTGTTCTAATTTTGGTAGATCATATATGTCTAAAAAATTATCCTTTTACTAAATATTTTTATTTTATTGGAATATAAGTTTTCAAAATAGTCTATAATGACCCTATAGATTTCAGTTTTGTCTGCACTAATATTTCCATTTTAATCTCTAACTTTATTTAGGTCTTCTGTTTTGTTTTCATTATTTTAGCTACTTTAAAAAACTGATTATAGTTTCAAAGAACTAACTCTTCCTTAATCCTTTTTACTATTATTTATGTTTCTATTTCTTGAATTTGGCTGTGATCTGTATTATTTATTTCTGTTACTTTTGGTATTGGTTTGCAAATAAGCAGTTCAATTATTTGAGATCTCTCTGCTGTTTTATGCAGGCATGTATTGCTATAAACTTTCCTCTTATAACAGTTTTTACCATACCCCAAAGCTTCTAGTATATTGTGTTTCCAGTTTTGTTTAATTCTAAGAATTTTAAAATGTCCACCATGGTTAATTGTATAACCCATTCATCATTCAAGTGTATTGTTCAATGAATTCTCCATGGATTTACATAGTTTCTATAGCTTTTCTTGCTGTTAATTTCTAATTTAATTCCATTAATATATGAAAAGAGTATGAAACCAAATCTTTTTTATTTGCTGAGATTTTATGCCTTAAAATATGATCAATTTTGGAAAAGCCAGTGCTAAAATGGAAGCTTATTCAGCCATTGTTGGATAAAATATTCTGTAGATATCTGTTAAGTTGTTTTATCAATAATATAATTTAAATCTGATGTATTTTTTTGTGTGTAGATGACTTATTAGTGAGAGTGATACACTGAAGTCTCCCACAATTATTGCATTAGGCCCATTATACCCTTTATATTTAGTAATGTTTGTTTTATGAAATTGGGCAAACTGACATTCAGGGCATAAATATTTATAATTGTCATATCTTCTTGTTGCAGAGTTCCCTTTACCAATGTGATAAACCTTTTTTGTCTCTTCTGACCAGTTTTGTCTTAAAGTCTTCTTTGTTTGACATGACAATAGGGACTCTGCTTACATTTGAATTCCATTTGCATATAAAATCATTTTCCATCATTTTACTTTTAGTCTGTTGATTTATTTGCCTGTGAGGTGTGTTTCTTGGAGACAACATTCAGTTGGGTCTTATTCTTCAATCCCATCTTCCAATCTACATGTTTTAACTGAGGAATTAAGACCATTGACATAAGTGTTATTATAGAGCAGCATGTATTATTCTTGTCATTTTTAAAATTTAACATTTGATTCATTCCTAATTATCATATGCTTATTTATTTTTCTAATGTGATTTATCATTTACCATATTCTCTTGGTTATTTTTTATCTACCTCTTCTTTGTGTGGGATTCCTTTTAGTATCTTATGCTGTGCTAGATTAATGGTTGCGAATTCCTTTAGTTTGTGCTTATCTTGGAACATTTTTATTTCTCCTTCAATTCTGAAGGCTGACCTTTTCTGAATATAGTATTCTAGGTTGATTGCTGTTTCTTTCAGGACTTGAAATACATTGTCATTATCTATGTCATCACGATGCATCTGCTGTTATTCCAATAGGTTTGGCTTTATATGTGATTTGGTGCTCTTTTACAGCTTTTAAATTCTTTCTTTCTTCTGAACTTTTTAAATTTTAGCTAAATTAAATTTTTGAAATTTTAATATAAGGTTTTATGTTCTGTCTAGGTGGGATTGTAAATTCATAACATTAACCAAAGAATTTTATAATTTTACCAGTCAACTATGAGAGATGAGAAACCAATGGTAAGATTGTATAGAATGTTAGTCATGGTGTTCTGAATATGTTTCTCATTATAAATGGACTTTAATTACATACAAAATAAATTCTCCTGTTTGCCAAGTGCAGAACTTCATTGATTCCATAAAATATATTTACTGGGCAACTTTACGTGTGTACATGTACTCATTTTAGCTATGGATAGGATGTGATGGGAAGGGCCCCAATATCCTGCACCAACTTCCCCTACTTCCATAGCACCATTTATTTTTAGTAGTCTTGAAAGATACACTAGTGCCTAAAGGAAAAAAAAATGTCATTTAAATGACTTGATTAGTGATACTATTTCTAGGTTCAAGGAAGATCTGGCTTAAAGTAAATTTGTCTTTGGTTAAGAAATCAGTCTTCTTGGTCATCCAATTAACCGCCCATATAATAAGCCACTCCTGGTTTTAGCTTGAAGCCACATTTAATATGAACTTTATGTATCTATTTCTGCTTGCCTATTTTGCAGGATGTATTTTTCCCAAGTAACAGATTTTTTTTCTTATTCCCCATTGGAATGTTTCAACTACATTAGTCTTCAGATAATTGAGCAAAAACAGAATATTTTGCTCAGCATTGGGCAAAGTGTGCTCAAAGATGGTGAGAGTCCTCCTCTGACCCTGAGTGGCCCCCCACAGCTCCAGAAGTACCCCTGAGAAACCCACTATTTCCTCACTACAACAATCTCTCCTCCAGCTATGTCTACTTAAAATGTACTTCTCACTAACTAAATGTACTAAATGTAACTTCACTAACGATTAAATCACCATAGGTTCTCTCAGAAAAGTTTTTCTTTAATAGATTTTATTTTTTTTATCTTTCCTTATCAAAAAAAAATCCATCACAGCTCTATCCCTTTGTAAGATTGGGAATGGACAGAATCTGGTGACAGTCCTACATGCTTAGAAAATTCTGTATATTTTTTTCTTCATGAGTATCTCTTCTTTATTACAATTGTCATACACACCCAATGCTAATACAAGATATTCAAGTTCCACGCCAGTGTATGAATGAGATTTCACTGATGTATGTTTCAATCAAACAAACCCACTAAGTGAGGCTTAGAGATACATACATAAAAATGTATACATATGCATGTGGTGTATACACACATATTATCTTCCTAATATGTATGTGTGTTTACACACACAAGCATTCTTGAAGCTTCTTAAAGCATTACTTTGTTTAATAAATGATGATTTTTTAATAAGCATAAAACATTAGTCTGCACCTTGTGGGAAAAAATGATGAAAAAGATATAATTGCTAATTTTCAAGTACCAGTAGTATACTATAGTATAGTATAGGGATAAATTAAGCATGTGAACTAGAGAAACTAATATTCATAAGATTAAAAATACTTAACTTAACAGAGAACTATTGTGTGTTTCACCAAAGGATTTGTCTCTTCACAGATACATCCAATTCTGGTTTCTCTTAAGACAGTTTGTTAATGAACTTTAATTTAAATAAGTTTTAAGATCAAAGCCATCTCCATTTTCAGTAATGCAACTGTTTGATAAAATGATGATCATGTGTGTAAAGGGTTTGTGATAATAGTATTTTATGAGATTGGAATATTTTACTAGTGAATTGATAGAACATTGGGTAATGTGTTCACTTCCCTATGAGAGTTATGAAATATGTAAGTAGTAACATCCCAGTTCTCCTTCTGGAACTCAACTCACAAAATGGTTGAATCATTTCCAGACAGTTTTATGTTTTATTCAGTGCAAATAAGAAATTGTACATTGAAAGTATTTTAAAATCATGTGGGGAATATTCATAATGACACTTTCACTAAGAAAAGTTTAGGGCATCTTGACAAAGCTAGGGTGCTACAGCCTTAGGCAGCAGCACTGGGAACAAGACATCATTTTAGATGCAACTCTGGTTTTCCTACAAGCTTTTTGAGAGAGTATTATAACTGCCCTTGGTGTCCATTCCAGAGTGCATGATGTCCTGAAGTGCTAGAAAGAGGCTTGACAAAGTGTGCCTCTCTGTTCATGTCCTGCAAAGAGCTAATCTAGTAAGAACAGAAGTGGCTACAGTCCCTTTACAGTTTGCCACATTGTTCTAGGTTCTCTTCTTTTTAAACCTCTCCTTGGAAACTGTAAGGTTAAGTACATCTGTTATAAAATTTCGGCCTCACCTACAGAATCTCTGAGCAGTCCAGCCTCATAAGGGAGTTTAACATAACTTGATTTGTAAACACAGGTGAAGCTTCACTTGATCTATTTCTTCTAAATGTCTACATTAAAGAAAAATGAAACTCAAAGCTAACCACTAACAAACCACCAACCAACTTTTAGAAATAGGGACACTACAGAAGAACAGAACAAATTAAGGCAGCCATATAACTATGACCAATCAAGTATTTTCTTTCTTTACTTCCGTGTTCATTCTTCAAGAGCTTCCCCCTTTGAAGTCCCTCTGTGGAATCCCCAAAACACTTCTAAGCATCTTGAATTGTGAATTGTTATTTTTTCAAATAAACATTTTAAATTTTATTGTGCCTCAATTTACCTCTTAACACAACAGAAAATAGTTGAGCAAGCCACAGGCTGAGCCATGAGAGCCATTTCATCATGGCAACTGTGAGCAAGAAACACAGGTATTTATCTCTGCATCACCACCCACAGCAAAGGCAGGTTGACTTCATTCAAACTCCAACTCGGCCACTTTGCTGAGATGGGAATAGTAATGCCTAACTCACAAAATTTATGAAAAGTTTAAGTAAATCTTGCCATTTCTCTCCCTCTTTCACATACATGCACAGCTATAGAAAGCATATAATAAGAACTCAATAAAGTGGAAGAAATGATGGAAATTTTTTTTGATTAATAACTTACAGCTTAGCATGCTTCTCTGTTTTGCAAGAGATGCATCGCTGGATGGTTGATTGATTAACTCCATAGATTCCGAGCCATGTAAAAGTTCCTCCCACTGATATTGTCCACAAAGTGTGCCGCCGGAGGGGATCTACATCAAAACTGTGAAACAGTGAAGAGAGTGAATGTCAATTCATTCAATGCTTAGAATTATTAGTTGATGAGGCCATTCAATTAAATCTTTATAATGCCTTAAAAAGTAGCATTGGACATACTCAACTATATGAAGTCGGGATCCATTGCTTGCTTGCTCTAATACATTTTGTAATCCACCATTGTGAGCCGATCCTTGAATGAGAACTGTTAAGAAGCCCACAATCATGACAATCATCTGAAACGCATCTGTCCACACCACTGCTTTTAATCCTCCCTAAAATGAACAGAATGATGTAAAGTGTTAAAAGCAGGGTCTGTAAAGCTCCCCACTCCGGACAGTTTCCCTACTAATGCAATCATTTCATTTGTTCAATAACAGTTGCTGAGCATCTTTTATGTGTCAAATTTTTTGTTAAACATGAGAATAGTTGTAAGTGAAAAATATACTAACCACTAAGAAACCACCAATCAACTTTTAGAACTACGGACACTATAGAAGAACACAACAAATTAAAGCAGCCGTATAACTATGTTTCTTCCTTAATTTCATTGAGCTCAAAATCTAATGGAAGAAGCAGATATTTGATAGTAATATGATAACTTAAAATTATGGAACATGCAATTAAGAACAGGTTACTATTGGAGCATACAGCAGGAAGTCTTAACCAATTCTTTCAGAGTGATAGACAAACTAAATTCTGAAGAATAAGTAAAAATTTGTCAGGCACAGAAGACCAAGAGGGGATCAAACCAACATATATGAAGAAAGAAGAAACATTGGTCCTCAAGGAAATGAAAGAAAACTTAGATATACACAATCAAGCTGTGGAGAGCCTAAAGGGGGAACCTCTGAATTCTCTCGAGGTCAAGCAGATAGATATTGATAAGTACACTTAAATAATTCACAATTGCCAGGAAATATCATTAAAAAGAGATTGATAAAAGGGTTTTTTTTTTGGTAATATTTCCATTGGTGGTTGTGTGGATAATGAATTGTAAGACTATAGAAGACAAGGTGTCAGGAGACCAGCTCAGAGTTTATTCCTGAAGTCCATGCCCAAGAAGGTCAACAGTTTGAAGTAGGGTAAGGGTATGGATTGAAGGATATTCAAGAAATAGCTTATGATTCATTAAATATAGGCAATTATATAAGCAAGGGAATTAAGAATAATCTCTTGGTATGACTTGTATAACTTGGACTCCTTTTTTGTTGTTGTTGTTTGTTTTTATGAAACTAGCGGCAGTGAAAACACTTTGGGAAATGGAGATAGTCAAATACTGAGAAAGAATAAAAACCTAGAAAGGAATGTTGGATTCTATATATCCATGAAGGAAGGAGTTTTAAGAGCTACAGGATGATCCAGTAGGAAGGTGAAAAAAATTAGAGTTTAAGGAAGGCAAATTTAGTTGTAGAATTTGTATAGAATAATTATGCAAGAGATCAGAGCAGTGGTTATGAAGCCACGTTTCCCTCTAGAATCACCAGAGGGATTTAAAAGGGTTTCTGAATTAATTGAGGTCTGTATTAGGGGTTTGTCCTCAATGTCTTTTGAAACTCCCTAATGGATTCTAATGTAGAATTTTAGCTGATAACCTGACAATAAGAAGAAAGGAGGAAAAAGAGACTGCTGCATTTAGTGTTCCATGTATAGAAGCCCTTAAGAATCCCACCATACAGAATGCATAGAATCCCACGATAGTGAAGATGGGGTGAGCTAATAGGGAAAAATTAAATGAAGCAACATATTTTAAAAAGTGTTTTTTTTTAAATGAAAAGCTCTAGGTAAATGAAGGATGTGATATTTTTAACACTGAAAAGTAGAATTATCATCCCCAGTTACTCCTCCAGAGTGTCAAGAACTTCTGTGAAAAGATGACATGCTTTATCTTTAACTTGAGAAGGGAAAAAAAAAAAAACATATTTTTGATGATGGTTGTCCCATCATTTCTTTTGTAATTAAAAATAAAATTTGATTAAAAAAACAACAAAAAAAAATCCCTGATAAAGGCATGTGTTAGTCTAATATATTGTCTAAATCATGTTTTGAGAAACAATAAAATTTTTACCTCCTCCCTCCTAGATAGTTCTATCTTGATTTCCTTTAAAGATGTTCTGCTTTCCAATCTCAAATGTCAATTTTAGATTTTAGTCACATGAAGACCCAATACCAAAGGCTTCAGTATTCAGAGATTATTTGGCATTGGTTATGCAAAAATTTGCACAAACTTGAGCATTAGCTACACATGCAAAAGAACAAACTCCTTTATCAAGTAGTCGTTGAGTCAGATTACAGTCACCATGAAGTTTTCTCTGACTCCTGTATACAGCAAGTTTCTGTTTCTTCCCTGGGGGCTCCTCTCTCTCATCAAACTTTGTTGATTTGAATCTAATGTCCACCTCACTAAATGGCAACCCTCTGTATGGCAGGAATCACTTATTTTTAAAATACTTTCCTCTGGTTATTTTCCACATGGATCATCCACTAGAGGATCACAATAAAGAGCTCACTGTATGAATGCAGGTATTAGATAAATAGGCCCCATGCTGGTGAGACACAGAAGCCTTTAACATGGCTAGAGAGGAGAGATGGCACAGAGGTGTGGTGAGGCAAACTGAGATGGGCAGATTGGATTCACTTCATGAAATATTTTCAACTCTAGGTTAACAAGCTTTTCTTTATGCTACAAACAATAGGAAGCAAGAAGAGAATTAGGCTACTGAAGTGGTATAAAGAAATACATGTCTGAGGAAGATTCATCTGACAGAGGCAAACAGATTGGAGACATGAAGCCAGTTAGGAGGTAGCAAATTTAATTCATTTCATTTTATTCATTAAAACGCTCAGACTCTTTTTAAATATTGTACTAAAAGGGGTCTCGACATTTTCTGTGCCTGTTTTTCTCTTTCCTGCAGATGCTTAGATTAATTGAGTGTTTTTATTTAAATTCCATTTTTTCAGATTGTTTTATTTAAAGAGATTCCCTTGAAATTTTCCCATACATTTTTAATTTAAGAGTGAAAAACTTAATGCCATAAACCCCAACAATTCAAATGGAATAAACCTATAAACCTTGAAACTTTTCCATACATTTTTAATTTAAGAGTGAAAAACTTAAAGCCATAAACCCCAACAATTCAAACGGTATAAACCTATAAACCTGGTTATTTGCTACCTGATTTAGATGCTACTGTTGGACAATTTGGGAATTGTTCTTTTGCTTAATCCCAAAATTATATAAAAACAAATGAATGATTATTTTTCATATATTTTATATCATAAATAATTATGCAATTTAATATTGTAAGCAAATACAATATTAAATAACAATTGACTAGAATTACTAAATATTTACTACAGGTATCCCATATCTAAAATGTTTGCAACCAGAAACATTTCAGATTTCAGTGTTTTTCAGATTTAGGAATATTTGTATGAAATTTTTCAGCTGAATACCCTTAACCTGAAAAATCCAAAATTTGAAATGAAAGCTCCAACATCCAAAATTGTTTGAAGATAATGTCTACACACACAAAGTTTCACATTTTAAAAAAATTGGATTTTGGAATTTGGAGTTAGCGAGTTCTTCTTGTATTTTACTTCTTTTTAAAATTTTTTTTTAATATTTATTTTTTTAAGCTTTAGGTGGACACAATATCTTTATTTCACATTTATGTGGTTCTGAGGTTCAAACCCAGTGCCTCATGCATGCTAGGCAAGTGCTCTACCACTGAGCCACAACCCCAGCCCTGTATTTTACTTCTTAATCATTACTTCTTCCACTTAAAACTGGAAGACTTTTTTCCTTCTTCCCATAGTACTTAGTGTTTTCTTGGAGGAAGAGCTGTTAGTGACAAATTCTCTTGGTTCTTGATATTAAATTCTTAAAAGACAGTTTTATTGAAAATACAACTATAGGTTGACAATTATTTGCCCTCATGTGTTTGAAAATACTATTCCAGCATCTCTGGCATCTACTGTTGCTGCTATGAAGTGTGCCAAGAGCATCCCTTGATAGATAATTTATCTCCTCTTGCTGGCTCTTGCTCAGGTCTTTTTTTTTTTCTTAAATACCTACTATTCTATAATTTCACTAATACATTCAGGTCTTTTTTTTCTTTTTATCCTTTAAATTTGTACTTTTCTTTAATTCTATGGATTTTTATCTTTTAACAGTTCTGAAAATTTTTGAGTTACAATGTTTTGAAATCTCCTTCATTCTTTCTATATTATTCTCTGAGACTTTAATGGCACATAAATTAGATGTTCACATTTATCTTTTATATGACCCCATTTCTCTTTCATTTCTGCATCTCTTTGTCTTTCTGAAATATTCTGTCATTTCTTCAGATATATCTTCTGGTATAGAAATTGTATGACTTTTCAAATGTATCTCCTTTTATCATAATTGGTACATTGTTGATTATTGCTGATGCTTGCTTGGCTTTGAAATTGTATTCTTTCTTTATTAAGTCCTTTTGGCAAATCTATTCTTTATTCAGTATTTTGCAATGCCAATGTATGCTAATCCCAACGGACTAAATCTCATCTGTTGTTTTGCTAATATTCACTCATAGTATCTTGCTATACTATAGTGTTAATGTGATAGAAAAAAAAAGATGAAGATAAAACTTTAAATGTGTAGAAATTGTGGCATTTTCAAGTATGAAAAAGAGAAACAAGGGCAGTTTAAATTGTATATTATCATATATGTGTTACAAAATATATGTGTTGTAAGCATATTCTACTCTATGATAATGTATCAACAATTTTACTTTTCTTTGTAAAGGAGGAAGGAGAATCCCTCTATCTGGGAACCATCACCATATTCTTAATTGGTTACATTTAGCCAGAAAATGGTGTGATGAGTCAGAAGAATAAAGCCTCCAGTTGCAGGGGATGAGCAAATAATAAGTGATCAATGACTATTTGTTAAAATCAACTAATTATAATAATTGTACGAACATGCTATCAATACCAGCCAGATTCCTTGATTAAAAAATAAGCATGTGTAAAGACAAATGTTAAATATAATCTAAGTTATCTATAAATGAGAGACAAAATAACTGTGGAATCCTTATGTTTATAAAATACTAACTATCCTTGCTCAATCATGCATGTATTTTGCTGCTTTTCAACTGGCAGACAGTGAACAATAAAATGCTACCTATGATTTATGAAAACTGTTAAGGAGAAAATTATTCTTAGAAGTTGCACAGGGTTACCTGGGCTCTGTCCTCTGATCAAGGAGGTATGTCTTTCATTAGATCAACTTTCATTAGGAATAACATACTTGAGTGAACTCAGACTTCAAATTTGCCTAATGTCTGATTTAAAAAAAAAAAAGGAAGAAGAAGAAGAAAAACAATACCTTCCTCAGGAAACTAAGGCATATAAGCCAATATACTGCTATTTAATTTTGGGATAGCAATTACAGCTGTAATTTGAAGGCCTGCTGCTGGAAATTTGCCCTTATTCCAAATTAGGAGGACTGTTTAATATTTTTCCCAACTAGATACATACCAGGGTACAGTAGAATGTGCAAACAATTCCTGTTGCAAACACAGAGCCCCAGAGATCAAACCCAGTCACTATGAAAGGAGAAAAAAACATTAAAAGAAATTTCTCTGAGCTAAGTAGAAGAGAAAATTTTATGAGGAAAGAATCACAGTAGTTTTTTCACTGTTTTTTTTTTTTTGTGGGCAAAAATAAATCAAATTCATTTTCTCTCATTGAATTTTCTCAGCTCTGATAAAGATTATTTTTATTACATTTTTATATCTTAAACCAATCCATAAAATTCATATACTATTTAATTTTTTTCTCCTAAGATTTTTTAACTTCCATCTTTGGTTCAAGTGATGTATGTCTTTTGTTTTGTCTTAATGAAATTTGAGTAATCTAAAACCACCTAGGCATCCATGAGTAATTAAAATTTCTCAGTATAAACACATAGCCCAATTAGTTAGAACATTAAGGACTCTCTGTTGAAAGTGGCAATGTCACTGCAAAAAAAAAAAAAATCACTCTTGCTTCTAAGATTCTATTTTCTTGAAAGGATCAACTATTTATCACAGTATGACTATTACAGACAACTTTCTTCTTGTGCTCAGATTATGTACTTCATGAAGTCACTGAAACATGACCACATATAGAGGACCTTACTTAGCAGTTGTATGCATATAATACCCAGAATACCATCATTTCTATGATTAAAAAACAAAATGAAAAACCCAAATGATAAAAATGATTGAACTGGGTGTTTAGAACTACCCAGTTTTGCAAGGCAAAGTCCAATAGCTAATTGTTTGCATTATTTTCTATGTCAAATCATCTTTTTAGAGCTTTATGGAGCGACTACCACAGTAATTCAGAGCATCTTAAGCAGAGTGATATTCTTCTAACAGGGTATTTTACATACATTTGTTCAAGCTGAGAATTCAGGCATAAAAGTAGTAGACTATGTCCATGGGAACATAGAAGACTCACCTTGATTGAGTGCCAGGGCGGGAGCGTACACCACCACACCTGTGTAGAGAATCTGGTAGAGAATAAGAAGGAGGTGAGTAGCAGTGGGGAGAGCCATGGAAGGAAAACTGCCCAGAAGCTCTTTATTGACCTTCCTCCAACGTGCTTACCAAACATTCCCTTCTCATCCACTCTCATGTTGAAGTAATTTAACACTGTAACTAATTTGTAGAAGGGGTGTAATCATGAGATGGGAGAAGAGGGGTGGATTTTCAAGATGACTGCTCATTTTGAGATGTCATCGTTACATTTGGTGTATTTTTAAAGAATACAAAAACACAGGCTTCGAGTTCAGCTTTTGATTCAACTTCCCTCTACCCACTCCCCTCATGTGCCCATCACAAAGGGTTCTCTGCCGACTTCATGAGAAACTTCACTAAAGAATAGAAGCACATTTCAGCAGTTTGCTAAAATATGGACTTTAGAGTGGAGATTAGGGAGGTGGGGGAATGTGAGAGGAAAGAACTCTAAGGGAGACTAAAACAGGGGGACTGGTATGTAATGAACACCATCTAATTCACAGAATGGAATTGTGATTGCTACACTGATGTAATGGGTTCAGTTCACATCTTATTTTAAATGGACTTCCACCATTTGGAGATGGCATCTGAGGGTTGCCATCAGCAAATATGTGTAGGCAGTTCAAGAGGCATTGTTTTCTTCTTATTCTCTTGCTTAAATCCTTCTGGCATCAGTGGGAACTCTAATTAAGAAGGAAGGTCACCTTGTAGAAAAGAGCACTTGGTCAATGGGAGGAAATTCACCACTGTGTCCAGGGTGAGCTTGGGGAGAATGAAGGCACCCCAGAGCCTGGAGGGTGGGAAAGGAGTGCATGGGAGGGAATTAGGTATATTGGTTAGGAAAATTGTTTTAAAGTGACCTTAAAACAACAACAATAACAAAACAAAACAACAACAAAAAAACAGGCATTTCTGGTTCAGCTCAGTTAACCATTAAAAATAAAAGAAAAAGAAAAAATTTGGTTAAATAGTAGTAAAATATACTTGTAGCGATTTTTCCCTTTTGTGACTTATAATATATACTTGTTCTTATTATTAGTCCAGATGTATGGATTCTAGCAATGTGAATGGCTCTCAAGGTAATCACGTTTCTTTGGAAGAAAGTAGTGACTTCTTAGTAGTGTTTGACCTTTAGTTGAGTTAATTGCCCCATTAAAAAAAAAAAAAAAAAAACACCTGTAAATGTATCTTGGAACCCCTGGTTCCCACTTCTGCAGCAGCCACTGCCCCTTACCGTCTGCACAATGTAGATGACAGTTGCTGCATAGCGAACCACTTTATTGAATCGTAGTTGTAGATACTAGAGGGGACAGAGAGAGAGAAAGAGACATGCGATGAGTTTTAGATAAGAGCTGTTAAGGAGGTCCTTGTTTGACTTGGTATTCCTCTGAGTTTAGTGCTTTAGACTTGCAGTGTGATTTATAGTAGGTATTTCTGGAAGCAACAGGGGAAAAAACATGGGTTGTTAAAAGTCAAACATATAATAAAACCCAATTCACGCTCATGCTTCTCGTGATGGCCAGAAAAGATAAGTTGGTTGCTTGAATAAAGCACAGGCCTTCTGACTTTATGCCCAGGTATTTTCCTACTGGATCCACTGAAGACAGTTTCCCTTTATGTCCCTAAGTTCCATATATATCTCAGTTTTTTATTCTTTTCTGGATTACTGCTGTAATCCTCTGGTTGATCTCCCAATACCAAGACTAGTCCATGCTTTTCATCATCTCATATCTGCCACCATCACTATTAAACAATGTTCTTACCTGGGCATTTTTTTTCCTCAAAAACTTTAGTGATTTTTGACCAAAAAAAAAAAAGTCCACATCTCAAGCTTGATATTCCATCCCCTCTTTTGTCTGACTCAAACCTACCTTGCTTAAGACATACCACCTTTCCTTTGTGTAGGCAGAATTTTCAATGTAAGAGTCTTTCTCTTCAAATTTCAAATTTGTCTCCAAGTTCTTCATAATTTCTCAAGAAAAATGGTTCAATGGCTATTCTTATTCTTCTTAGACCCTCTGTTCTGAGCTCCTACAGCACATTTGCTAAACCATTTTCATGGTTACCAGTCTCTGGTAATTTGGTGTTGGATTTACTTATTTAAAAGTTGCTAGTGAATTAGTTACCTATGGGTACTGCAGCAGATTACCACCAATTTGGAAGCTTAAATCAATAGAAATGTATTCTCTTGTATTACTGAAGCCCAGAAATCCAAAGTCCATTCACTGAGCCAAAATCAAGGTGCTGGCAGGTTGTGCTTCCTCAGGAGTCTCTAGAAAGAATGTTTCTAGTTTGTGAACCTTCTGGTCATCCTCAATTTCCATTCTAGCACTCTAATCTCTGCCTCTGTAGTCACTATGCCTTAGCTTCAGTCAAGTTTCTCTCTGTCTTACATAAAGGTACTATTTATGGTATACTTGGGTAATGTAAGATATTAATTTAATCACATTTGTGAAGACCAACTTCTTCCATTTTTTGGACCATCTGAGATATTACAGGTTTGAAGTATTAAGGATACATATGCATGTGCATGTACCCCCCACCCCCCACACTCTTGGGGGCAGTGATTCTTTTTTAACCAAATTTACTCATGCTAACGTATGTACATAGTGTTCTAGTTTACTCATTTTCATCTTTGTAATTTATATGTTGATTCATTTAATATATACTTGTTTCCTGCTTTCTACATTGCATTCATATGTACAAGAAGCAAACAAGATATAGTTTACATCCTAGAAGATCTTACAGATTAGATAAGGCAATTATTAACAAATAGTAATAAAAATAAAATTGCACCTTTAATAGTATTCAAGGAAGAGCTACAGAAGCTGTGAACCCACTCAACAGCAAGGTGTGAGTCACTGCTGGAGGTCAGAGAAGGTTTTTCTGAGTAAGTGTTCTAGATAATGTGAGTATATATCTTCCAATGCATATAGAGTGAGCAAAATAAATTTTAAAAGTAGCAAATGACTTTAGGATTCAGTTTCTTCATTGTTGTTTTGCTTTTAGTATGTTGTCTTCTCTGAATTTAAGGAAAATCATTTTTATTAAGTCATGGTTTAACTAATGATTTATCCTTTTCCTAGAAAAGATATATAATGTTCCATGGCTTAAAATGGACCTTTCTTTGAAACAATGAACTCTTGATAGAACTGTAACTCAGTTTCACACTAGCTCACACTTCAAAATTTACTCGTCCAGATGTCCAAATTCTCAGTTTATTTTCAGGCCAGTCTTTCCAGATGGTACAAGGAGACTGGGACTCGGAGTCTAGTCTGTGATTGTGAGACTTAGGAAACTGTATGTAAAGAAATATTCTTGCAGAGGTAGGGAAAGTCAATGAGGAGGCAAAAAACTCAAATATCACAGGATGGAAAACTTTTGTGATAATGACAGCTTGGGTTCAGACTACATGTCTTTCAGAAAATAAGCTTACTACACTAAACCATGGGCTTCCCTTCCCAAGAGAGACACTTCAGAGAAGACAATGGCATAGTGTGTGACCAAGCCAAGGACAGGGCTAAGAATGCAGTGGGATCTTAGGACCATAGTCATCAGTGTGGGTGCAACAGGCACAGCTTATCGGCACTCAGTGTCCCAGTACATGTAAATGGCATCTAAAAGCACCTATTATTGTCTGTTGTAGGCTTTCTATCAGCCTTTGCTCCAGGAAGGTCAGAAGTGTGTGGGGGTGTCATGACTGGCATTCAGCCAATGACTAAAGGGAGGTGGAGAGAAAATGCACTGGCTTCTTTGCCTTTCGGAAAGGATAACTCAGACACATTCTGTCCTGTCTTCCAGAGATCCCCAGGGAGACTGAATCCCAGCAGATCACAGTGATAACTTGCTCAAAAACACACCTTGTATGGATTTCCTCTCCTTCCATAATTACTTTGCCACTTGCCTGCCAGTGCTTACTGGAATCAGTAATGATCCAAATGACTTCCATTCACACCTTATGTCAGGATCTGCCTCTGGGGAAATGCAAACTTAAGACAGTGATATTTATCTATATAATGCAAACTCATTAATCACGTAATGAACCCAGGATGGTCTTCTGGAGGATGAGACCAAATATAACACAAAGAAGCTGTCTCAGCCATGTTTCTCTAGAGCATCAGGCCCCTGGCCAACTCAGTTCCTGAGTGAAGTCACAAAGACTGCCCACATGAGCCAGCAGAAGAACCTTACTATTGTATGAGGCCCAGTTGAGGTAGGCAAAATGGTTTATCCCTGGAATTCTGAGCAAATAAAATTGCTGTTTTTAAAAGTTGATTTTGGGGTTGATATACTGCATGAAGTTAGATAAATGATATAAAAATTAGTAACAAAAACAGGAAGATGTAACAAAAGCCAAAAGTACATTATCTATTTTGGGAACTGGGTGGTTCCTAAGGTCTGGGAAAGCTTTCCTGGAAAATGGGAAAGCTGGGAGGAGACTGCTGTAGGATCTGGAAGTCAATGGATTTTACATTTCAGTTTAGTTTTGGTCCATTCAGTAACACTAGAGAAGTGGTATTCAGAAAAGGGTATGTGCAAAAAGAAGTAGATCAGAAGTCAGAGTCCTTGAATTCTAGTTTCATATTTGCTGATATTTCATTCTGTGATTTAAGCTTCTGTTTTCTCATCTGCAAAGCAGAAGAGACTTTTCAACTGCATTATTACATATCTGTAAAAATGTATTAAATGAACGTGGCACACACCTTACTCTGAGCAACTTTGGAGGCTGAGACAGGAGGATAGCAAGTTTGAGGAGAACCTCATCAACTTTGCGATGTCCTTTCAAAAAAAAAAATTGCAGATGTAGCTTAGTGGTACTATGCAGTTGGGTTCAATCCCAAGCACGCGCGCACACACACACACACACACACACACACACACACAAAGACAGTAAAAGATGTATTTTTCCTTTTAATGTATTTGCTCATACTATTAATAGTTGTCTTTGGTGGTATATAAGTATTAGTAGAGTAAAAAGAAAAAAAAACAAAAGTTCAACAGCAAAATTGCATACTTCATGCTGGTTTTTAAAATATCAGGGGACATTTATTTATCATCACGGTGATTGTTTTAGAATCCCAAATATGATCCTGCTGTATCTTTATCTCAGCAAGTAGCAACTTCACTTTTTTATGTTGGTTTAAGTCCACATAACATAAACCAACATTTACTGCTTTCTCTCACTCTCATTTTCAATTCATGAAAGAATCCTGGTATATATACTCCCAATATCAGAACATATCCATTTGCATTATCTCTTGTATAAACACAATATTAATATTTTCTCGTGGGCAGATTATGGAAACAGATTCTTAGTCCCATCTTCTACCATAGTCAAAAACCTTCCAACTTATTCTCAACATCCAGCTAGAGTAAAAATCTTAAAATATAAATTACATTATGTCACTCCTCTACCCAAATATTATAATGATTCATCTCACCAATAGTAAATGCTCATCCTTACAATGACCCAAAAGGCCTCATGATATGGGTTTACATCCTATCAGAACCTAAATACAACAAATATTTTTAATACCATCTACTATGCTGAAATAATATTCAATGATAATATTATTTTAGATATTTGATTTATCAAAATACAAATATTATCAGAATAATATCACAAAATATAATTTAGTGGAGAACCAAAAAATTCACCAAAAAAATTATGTAATGAATAAGTGCTCAGAAACCAGTATACAAGAAGACAGTAAAGTCACAGTTTCTGCATATTGAAAAACTTTGTTCAGAAATTAAAAAGTAGTTCAGAAGCCATCAAAGCTAAGAAGTTCAAGAAAAATTAAAAAACAGATACTAGCTTATAAACTAGTGTTCAGGGTAAATAGCAGGCAATATAATTTTAGTATAAAAAAAAGATGGAGTTAACCTTGACTGAAATAGAGATAACACGAGGAGACTAATTATAAACTATCCAAGTAGAGATAATGAAAATGTTTGATATTGCAAATGAGCTAAACCTAATTTATCCCATGGGGTTGGATTAAGTCCTTATGCTCTTTATTGGACAGGGTGGTGGGAAAGGAGCACAGATGGCATCTCTTAGTCTTGAACTCCCACTGCATGTCAAAGCATTTAATCAGTTGGCTATTGCTATGCAACACCCACCAAAACCTGATGTGCTGAAAATCTAAAGAATTATTATTTATCACAACTGAGGACAAACTGGTGTTCCGCTACCCATTTCACCAGGTTTCTTATGTGGCTGCAATCAGCTGGATGATCAACTGAGCCAGAGAGTCTAAGATGGCCTCACTCAGGGCTGGCAGTTGTGCGATTCACAGCCTGGTGTTGGCTGTCAGCTATCGAGTCTCAGTTCTCCTTTGTGTGGCCACCTGTGTTATAGAGGCTAGACCAGTTATGCCACTCTTCTTACATAGCAGAATCAGGGCAGCATTCCAAGAGGGTACAATCACTTACTTTCTTACTTAAATGCCCTATTAACATGGAAATTTTATTTGATAGCCCTTTATGAATTACATTCTCCACCCAAACTGGCATTCTTTCTCTTGTCATTTCATTTCTCTCTATTGCTATGGTAAGCAAAGTAGCACAGTGATTCAGTATGTGATCTCTAAAGTTAACTTATCTGGGTTTGAAAAACTCCCACTTGATAGCTGTGTGACATTGAGCAAATTACTTGGCTCCATGTGCCTCAGTTTTCTAGTCTGTTAAATTGGACTGATGATAACAGTACCTATCTAAAAAGACTGTTTCAAGGCTAAGTTGAGACATAAAATACTTAGAGCAATGCTTAGCACATAGTTAAATATCACATAAATCTGCATTATGCTGTCTTAGGCATTTGTTGACAACCTTTGCTATGAAATAAATATCATAAGGAAAATTTGATTCTTTGTTGTATTCCCAGGGCCTAAAGAAGTGCAGAGAACATAGCAGATATTCAATGGTATTTATTCAACAAATGGATAGTCATAAAAATTATATTCCAAATGAGGGTAGATTTTTATTATTTAAAAAGGTGTGTGTGTGTGTGTGTGTGTGTGTGTGTGTGTGTGTGTGTGTATGTGTGTGAGTTAGTTACTGGGGACTGAACTCAGGGCTTCATGCATGCCTGGCAAGCATTCTACCACTAAACTACATCTCCGTCTGAAAAGCTTCTTCACATTTAACTAAACCTTCATGAAAGATGGGAATTATTATATTCCATGTGGAAAATGGAATTGAGAAATGCTAAGTAACTTGCACACAAAGTGATCTTATTGGTAAAGAAAAATTGAACTTATATTTTCAGGCCCCAAGTTTTCTCTATTTCTCTCCTTAGCTGTTAAGTAGGCAGTTATTCTAATGCATAGTATTGCTTAAAAAAAATAGCAATGTCTTTGTGAGTCAAATCTTGAAAGTTGAATGCAAACGCTTAGCACATAGTTATATTTTCAGAAGTATATTAATAAGCAAGGGGAAATGTGTACATTTCTGGTACTAATCATAAATTTAGTTATTTTCTCTTGAATCTACACCCCAGGTCTTAGCTATTGAATGAACCAAATTTGAGTACCTTCTTTTGGGAGAAGAAGAAGTTAATGTTGACAATTTGGAATATGATCATCTATGGAATCATAGGATTTAAGACCTTCTAAAAAGTGTTCATTTGCTTATTGCATCCAGAAGTCAAGAGAATCATTTTATTATACTCATTTAGTTTGCAAAATTCTTAAAGATAGGTCCTTTATGAATCTTCTGCTGTGACTTGGTAGGGTGTGATATTGGATAATGGAAATAAATACTTTCTTCATAAAAACTTATTTATGAGATCACAATTAAATTATAGACATACAAATTCAATTTTGAACACAATGTTTTCATTGAGAATGCTTGAAAAACCCAAACTCCACTGTCTCATTTCCTCTCATTAAAATAATTCCCATATTTTTATTAGTTAGCAATTTCTTCCAATTAAAATATTTGCTGATTTTTCAAAATATTACCATTTCCTAATTAAATCTTGGACCTAAGAAATAATAAGTACTAAAATGTTCAGTTTACTGTCTGATTGGAATACCACTACAGAGGGATATAGACAAAATAGGTTCTCAGTAGACTTTTAGCACTATTAAATCATGACTAACTTACTTATTGGTATCTCCATTTTCTCAGCTGGAAAATTATAATACTTGTGGCATACATTTTGCTTGTTTTTCAGGATAATTATGCTAATAATAATAATACAAATAAAAACTCTGTTTTCTTAAGAACCTCCCACAATCTAGACAATGCATCAGGTATTCACAGACAGGTGGTAATTTTATCATCCAAACAGCCCTGATGGAGCCACACATCATCATTTCTATTCTACAATGGTGAAAACAGGTATAGGTGCAGCCAGAGCTTAGGCTTTTCTCCAATATAATTTAATGTCTTTTTTCATAATGTGTAATTGCTTTGAAAAAAATCAGTGAGTGTTCTTCAACTACTGATCTTTGTTGCAAAGATGATGTGTATTAATAGAGGGGAAAACAGGATAAAAAAATCATTCAAATGGAGAGAAATTACTTGTGCTCAGAGAAGGGTGCAGTTCTCTTACCTCGTAAGTGCTAGTGATGCCAGATCTGTAGAACACAGGGAGAAAGAGCTCTGATGTAAAAATGATGACAAATGTATATGAAATAAAGAAAAGAATGAAGGATGCCCCAAAGCGGTAGACCTCGGAAGGTGTCCCCAAGACAGTGACAGCTGACATGAAACTGGCCGTCAGAGATAAAGCTACAGGGCCAAAGCTCATTTGCCTTCCCCCTACCAGGAACTCCCGAGATGTTGCCTTTTTTCTCTCCTTAATGGCAAAGAATATTCCGATTCCACAGGAAATGACAAAGAGGGCTGAAAATACAACATAATCCCAAACACTGAAGCTCTTTGCCTCCATGCTGGGAAGTATGATGCTGGAACGTTGCTTTCAACCAGGTCTTAGCAAGAGGATGTTTCCAAAAGCAAAGTTCTGTACAGCAGATGTTTTCCTGAGAAGAAGGATTGTGATTCCCTGAAGATGAGGACCACAGGTACTATGCTGATCTTCAGACACCAAGTCGTACTCAAGGCAGATTTCAAAAGTTAACTGCCAAGAACTGGCAGTGGAATTGGTACCAAGAGATAAGAATTTGAAATCTGACCCTGGTCAAGAGCTGTCTGCTCCTCTCCTGAAGCATATGCCACAGAGAAGGAATTCAGATGTGTTCTGAAATTAATAACTACTGGGGGTGGAATGGACTTGCCAGATAACGTGATCTTTTTATCTCCGAGATTTTTTTTTTTTAACTTAAGGTTAAACATTACTGGGAATCATGGAAGTGATAAAAGTTGACCACCTCAGCGTTTCTAATTAGTGAGATGGAATCTGCAAAACACAAGCACAGCCCTCAGTGGTGTCTCTTTCCTGATTAAGAGGGTGGAGATGCTTACCTGCAATTGCCTGAGGCAGTGGGTATGAAGGGTAAGGAGCAAAGAACTGGGAACCCAGAGACCTTTGCTCAAGTCCCGACTCAACCACAAGTGAACTATTTTTGGCAAATCATTTAACTTTTCTGGTCTTTACCCAGAGCATTGGGATAAGACCTTTAAAGGTTATTAGGACTCTTGAGTCTCAAACTGTCTGCCTTTCTTTGTCCAAATCTATAAAATGAGAGATAATAAATTTATCTCATGAGCTATGATTTGTGATTACGGTGGAGCACTCCTGAGCACTGTGTTCTCTTGATTCTAGGACTCAAAATACGGATCTTACAATAATTGATTATTCATAACCTCCACTTTGTCTCCTTCTCTCCTTCATTTTCACTGTTTTACCAAATTTGTTCCCATTGACCAAGTTAGAGTTAGGACATGACAAGTGAGAAAAGAATGAGGGAAATCCAGTTATAGATTCCTGCTTTTGCTCGCCTTAGATTCAGTGTTGATTACTCAGGAACACATCCAGCAAGTCTTTGGGGACTATTTCTCTATTCTGTTCACGCTTCCCCTCCATCCTCAATGGTTCTCTCTATCTCTGCAAACCTTCCTAGGATACAATATCTGGTTCTCAGTCTCCTCAAGTCTGTGTATCCTTTCCTGTCCCTCAACCTCACTTCCTAAATCAGCTTTTCTTAGTACTCACTTTGAATTCAGTTTGAACTCTTCAATCATCCACATTTATTTTAAGCAGTCTTTTTTTTTAAGTGTTTGTAGGAGTCTGTCACATGTTACAAATGATCACTTCCTTAGAAACAGAGGCAAATTTCTAGTCCACATGCCCAGTAAATAGCAGTCATAGAAAGTAAACAAAAACAAAAATGTACAAAACTAAAATTATCAGAAACACTCAAAGTCAGAAACACTTCCAAACATAGGAAACTTTCAGAAACACTACCAAACACAGGAAACTTTTTTCTTTTTTTTTGGTACTGGGAGTTGAATCCAGGGATACTAAATCACTGAGCCACATCCCTCGTCTTTTGTACAGTTTACTTTGAAACAGGGTCTCACTAAGTTGCTTAGGGCTTCAATAAATTGCTAAGGCTGACCTCAAACTTGTGACCCTCCTGCCTTACCTTCCCAACTAACTGGGATTATAGACATGTGCCACCATGCCCAGCTGATTTTTCTTCTGACATCTAGATAACCAAATAGGTCTTAGATTATTTGTATAGTCTGGATACCACCTTCACTTCCTAATTTGTCCCACAGATTTGCATTAGGTCTGAGAAAGTTCTACAGGCTGAACCATGCTTTCAGTTACAAATGAAAATGTGAAGATTTCTGGAGCGCTGTGTGTTCTGTTATTTAACTGTGTCTTGTTATTTCTTCTCTACATTTATGGAATTAATGTAATCTGTGCTAATGGGAAACTAGCTTTTTACTATATTTACGTTAATCTAGGCCTTTAATAATTTTTATCACGAGTACAGCATATCACATTTTATTACATTTCATTTTATTGGCAGATATTGTGTCTTTTACATCTTGAAGGTTTGTGGTCACTGCTTCAAGTTAGTTTACTGACATGACACCATTTTTTTCTAATAGTGTGTCCTTACTTGAGGTTTTTGTGTCATATTTTGAAAACTGTCACATTATCTCAAACTTCATTGTTTTTATTGTGGCTATTGTGGTAATCTGTGATCTAGGATCTTTGCTATCCCTCTTGTAATTGTGGTGACATAAACTATGTTTATATAAGACCATGAATGTGATAAATGTGGTTAGGTGTTCCGACTCTTCTAGAAACTTCCTCTCACTCTTCCTCCCCAAAGGCCCCCTATTCCTTGAGACACAACAATATTAAAATTAAGCCAATTAATACCCCACAATGGCTTATAAGTGTTCAAGTGAAAGAAACAGTCACACCTCTCTTTGCTTTAAATCAAAAGCTAGAAATGATTAAGCTGAGGGAAAAGGGCATGGCAAGAAACAACAGAAGCCAGAACCGAGACTTCTTGTGCAAGTTAGCCAAGCAAGTCTTGGATGCAAAAGGAAAGTTATTGAAGGAAATTAGAAGTGCAACTCCAGTGAATGTTATAAATCAAAACAGACTTACTGCTGATATGGAGAAGGTGTTAGTGGTCTGGATAAAAGATCGAACCAGCCACAATATTCCCTTAACCCAAAGCCTAATTCAGAACAAGATTCTCTTCAATCCTATGAAATCTGGGAGAGGGGCTAGAAAAGAAATATCTGAAGTTTGTAGAAGTTGGGTCATGAGATTTAAAGAAAGAAACTGTCTCCATAACAAGGTAAGGCAGTAAGTGCTGATGAAAAAGTTGCAGCAAGTTATCTAGAGGATCAGTTAGTCTCTTTGGTAAAAGTGGCCACACTGAGCAACCGATCTTCAGTGTGGACAATACAGGCTTTTAAGACTTTGATAGCTAGAGAAAAGTCAATGCCTGGCTTCAAAGCTTCCAAGACTGGCTGCCTCTCTTGTTCGGGGTTAATACAACTGATAACTTTAATTTGAAGCCAATGCTCATTTAGCATTCTGAAAACTCTTTGGAATCTTAAGATTATACTAAATACTCTCTGTGCTCTGTAAATGAAACAACAAAACTTTGACGACAAAGGTTTTTTTTTTTTACAAAATGATTTCCTGAATGCATTAAGCATTAAATTCACTATTGAGACCTACCACTCAGAAAAGATTCCTTTCAAAACATTGCTGCTTGTTGACAATGTATCTGGTCGCCCTAGAGGTCTGGTGATATACGAGTTTAATGTGGTTTTTATTCCTGTTAGCACAACATGCATTCTGCAGTATGTGTATCAAGGAGTGATTTTAACTTACAAATCTTATCATTCTAAAATAAACTTCCTAAGGCTATAACTGCCACAGATTGTTAATTATCTAATGGATCTGAGCAAAGAAAGTCGAAAACCTTTTGGAGAAGACTCACCATTCCAGATGCCCGTATCATTCATAATTCCTGGGAGGAGGTCAAAATAGCAACTTTAAGAGGAATCTGGTCCTGAGTACAAAGGAAAAAAAATAGGAATTTGGAAAGTTCATTTAAACCCATATGGATGATTTTAATGGGGGTGGGGGCAGGGTTCAAGACATTAGTAGAGGAAGATCTAGAATCTGAAGTGAAGCCTGGGGATGTGATTTAAGAATCACTGCAATCTCATGATAAAAAATCTAAATGCATGAGGAATTTAGTTTCTTAAAATGGAATTCATACTGTTGACGATGCTGTGCATTTGAAATGACAACAAAGGTTAAAGGGTTTATAATAATACTAAATAAATATAGTTGCTAAATCAGTGGCAGCAGTGAAGAGAATAGATTTCAGCTTCAAAAGATGTTCTATTAATGTTAAAATATGATCAAACATCATTGAATGCTGGACGGAAATCTTCCAAGAACAGAAGATAATATATGTTCATTGACTTGCTTGTTGTCTTATCTTAAGAAATGTCTCAGGCACCACAACCCTGATCAGTGGCCATCAACATCCATGACAGAGCCTCCACAGTCAAAAGATTATGACTCCTTGAGGCTCAGATGATCATTACCAATTTTTATCAAAAAAGTATTTTTAATCAAGGTATGCATATTTTTAGATATAAAGCTATTATACAAGTTATAGACTATAATATTATATACACATAACTTTTAAAAAATTTTGTGTGGCTCACTTTGCTTTATATTAGTTTTATTATCATGGTCTGGAACTAAAGCCACAAAATCTCTGAGATTTACCTTTTTTATGATTATATAACAGGTTTTTCTTGTAGTGGTCTCAGCAGAAAATCCAACCCTATCTGGCTTCCAGAGACATGGGTTACTTTATGTTTAATATTAACCCCACCTGAGTGTTAATATTCAATCCACAAGCCATGTAAACAACTTGTAAGCACTATCATTACATCAATGAGGTTCCAAGATTAAATGTTAGAAGCTTGTAGCTGAAGAGCCAATGAGTGCTGCTACTTTTAATTAAATTTCATGCAGAAGCAGTACTACCTACATGACTCCAGTTAGTCTTGAATTTCAAAACAGTGGGAAGCAGAGTCAGAGAAATGAAGAATGTATCATGCTTCTCATAGAAAACAATGTCTTGCTTTCAACATTTTGCTGAGTATAAAGCACATATTAGTCTAATTTATAACTATTTTCCACATCTTTACCCTTTCCTCCCTATGGTAGCCGCTGGTGTTCTCTCTCTTCTTTACTATTAAGATTCACTCTATGCAAGGCTTTTGCATAGCATCAACTTATTAATAATTTCAGGGAAAAACAAAAAACCAGTAAATTAAGTGGCTGCATCAGTTAGAGGGTATGTCCTTATATCAGAAATGTTAACATAGGAAAAAAAGGGTAAAGAAATGTGCCTCTTTGACCTGAAGAAACCCCACTATCTTCTATACCTTCTTATAGGTACCCCCAATGCCTACATTCAT